ACATAACAAGATTTAGGGTTAAGAACCCCTTGGAGGGACTCCAGTGGGGCAGGGTGGGTTACCAAGACAACCCCATCCTATGGGATGTAAGTTCTAGATGTCCTAATTAATGAAACTTATAAAAATTGTGAAAATCCGATGCCATGCCTCCTCATAGGGATATTTTGTGCACCCGAAAGCTTTCATTAAAAGACTGTTCTTGATGTTATCAATCCTAGTATTGTTTTGAGGGTTTTTCTTCTGATTCTGAGCAACGGGACCATCAGCAATTTCAGCAGAGCTGTTTATCACTCACTGCTCTCCTGCCAGCATGGCTTGCTTTGGGGAATTTTTTTATTTTCTTCTTTTTGGTGCTTTTCCAGACATTTCAGGCAAGTGGGAGCCTTTCAGCTGCCAGGAGTAGCACGTTAGGAAGAGTGTGAAATGAAAATAGGGAGCAAGGTTTGTGAGGATCTCTATGGAGGCAGGATGACTAGAATGGTTTTAATGCTGGGTAGAATTTTAAAAATGCATCAGAACACTCTGCAATGATAAATAATTATAGTTTCCTTGTTAAGAAATGCGGCCTTTCTCTGAAAGAGCTGTTCTTTTTCAGTGGCTGCCAGGTCAGATCCATCCTTAGGTGTGTGAGGCACCTCCCTCAGCTTCAACTGTGTGGAAATTAAACTTGGGTGTCATGGGCTTGGCATGAAATCTATATAAAATCCACAATCTGAAATTCACATAGAAATTCATATAAAATTTACATAAACATTGTGCTTCAGCGGAAAGGACTTTGTTTTTTGAAGTAAAAGTACAAAGTGGATCCAGTCCCAGGGAACTCACAGTCTTAACATGAATTTTATTCCCCTTCTACAAGTAGAAGTTTGAGGGAGAGATATAGGGAATGAACATGAGGGCTTTTAAAAGCAGCCTGTGGTTCAGGTTCCTCAGGGACATGTCCCAGCCCTCAGCTGGACTCCTTTTCCCAGGCTTGGGAAGTGTCTAAAGGAGATTGTGGAGCCACTGGTGATGCCTTTAACCAAAGAACAGAGTTGGTTCATTTCTACCCCAAAAGACCACACAGCACCTGTAGGAAATACAAACATTTAAAAAAACATTTCAAAGGCAGCTGTCTAAGCTAAGCTTTTTCTTACCTTCCTTCAACCTAGTGTAGTCAGTGAGGAGATGCAAGTCCACTTCACAGGGTGATTCCCCACCAGTGCCACCTGAAAATGGGATTATTCCTGTCTGGAAAGTCTCTCTGTCTGAGCTACAGAGGAAACTTTGCTTTTCTGAGTAGGGCAAATGGGTAAGGGAAAAAAAAAATAGACATCTGAAGTTCAACTAATCCAGATTTAACCTAGAGTTGAATGATTTTGTGTTTCCTCAAAAGTCAGCAGCACAGAATAGGGATCACAAAGGATCACCCATCCCTCAAAGGAGAGGGGTGAATAAGTGGAATAACTGAATAAGTGGAAGCATTTCTCTTCTATGAGAAGGGCAGAAACACTTACTCAGGACCAGCTGTCAAGTTTTGCACCACTTCTTAAATCTGGGATGAATCCCACAGTGTTACCCAAATTCCAGCTGCAAGTTGCAGTGCAGACACAGGAAGGGAAGGCAGGATTTTTGCTTTCTGCAAACAGCCTTGGCTTGTGCCAGGGGAGGTTTAGATTGGATATTGGGGAAAATTTTTTCATTGGAAAGGTGGTCAAGCATTGGAACAAGCTGAACTGGGAAGTGGTGGAATCACCATCCATAAAAGTGTTTAAAAAACACGTGGATGTGGCACTTGGGGATAGACTTTAGTGGTGGACTTGGCAGTGCTGGTTTGATGATCTGAGAGGGCTTTTCCAACCTTAATGACTCTCTAAATCTGTGACTATTTTGATTCCAACACCATCCATTAGCAACACCACCACCTGTAATTTTTTTTGTTTCATTCCATCCCACTTGAAATCTTATTCTTTATTACTGATTTCCTAAGATGATAAAAACTAGGAAAATTTGTCCAGCTTCAATTGGAGTGTGTGAGCCACCTCTTCCCAAGCCTTCTTGGGCATCCCTACGTCACTGGGCAGTGGGGAGACCCCGTCAGTGCCAGAGGAGACCCTGCTGGGCAGTTTCACACTCAAGTCACTTTGATTTCCGTGGGCAGATTTCACCCAGCAGGAATTGCTGGCTGCAGCATGGTTTACAAATGTAGGGAGATTGTGCATGCTGCCCTTTATTCCATTTAATTTTTATTTATTTTATTGTTGTCATCCTTTTCTTTGCTCTTTTTAATTATTGATTTCAAATACACTTTTTCAAGTGGGATCAGACAATGTTCTTTTTGATGGGGAATCCTTTACAATCTCCATCTCTCCCCTATTTTAAGGTAAATTACTTGACTTGCTGCTTCTTTCTCCCCTCTCTCCCAATGTCAGCACATCAGTGTTTTCTAACACAATGAACTTGTAATTTCTTTTTAAATGGGGCTGCTTTTTATCTCTGCATGGAATTGCCACAAAATCAGCCACCTGCTATAACTGAATTTCATCCACACGATATCATGCCATAGGATATTTATACTCTGGCTGTTCCTGTTCTGCAGCCTGAGGATATCCTTGCATTTCTCTGGTTTGCATTATCCATTGCTGGATAATATCTATATATTGGAAGATATCTCTGTTGAAATAATAATAAGAAAGTTTTTCCTATTCCTGTTCAACACAGTTAACTCAAGCAAGACCAACAGGTGTTTCTCCAAAGATCTCATTAAGCACTGATTATCTCCAGCATCCCTTGTAAGCAAATGTCTCGTTAACGTGGATGTTCACACATAATTTACTTTTGTACATAGTGCCACACTTCAGTGAGCTATAAACCTGTTGCTGCACATCCTCAGATTTTCATGGAAAATGCATTTCCTGCTGCATGGACACACACAAGCTATCAAGGATAATAAAATCTAACATCACTCAACATGGGTCTTGATTTCCATCTTTAGTGCATAAACAGTATCAAAAAATGATAAAATCAGAATATCCTGAGCTGGAAGGAACCCACAAGGATCATCGAGTCCAACTTCTGGTACAGGACACCCCAGTGTCCCCACGATGTGCTAAGACTGCCCAAACCTTTCAAACCCCAGGTTTTGAGACTTTTAGAAATATTCTAGTGAATTACAGCACTCATGGGATGAGATCCTCATCTGGCAAAAGAAACAATCTGGGACAGGAGTGGGAAAAGAGAGGTAGAGGAGCAAATGTAAAGATTCCTTTATATTTTTCCATCTCCTGTGATGATTTAATGAGCATTTTTGCCACAGTTTTGTATTTTGGTGGGTCTTGTTATTATGATGTTGAACATCACACCAACATTGTTTGACACTGACCTAATTCTTTAAACACCAACTTACTCAGAGCTGCTCTACTCAGCACACGTGGTACTCTCAGCCTTCTATTTTTGTGAGAAAAATAAAACGTAGGACTGGGGAAAAAAAATAGGAGTGGAGTTGCTGCCACTGAAGCTGATGGAAAAAAAAAAAAAGACGCCAAATCCAGTGCTGAGAACATCCCTCCTCCACTGATGGGGACCTGCTGAGTCACCAGAGCTGGTGGAGCCCACGCAGCTTTTAGAGTTCGTCACCCACGTCTCGTTATATTGGACTCATGCCAGGCAGAAATCCTTGGAAGTATTATCTGCTTTTCCTGAAGGTTTTATTTCCCTTGGCACGCAGTCAGAGGGAGAGAATTTTGACAGAAAACCTCGTAGAAAATCATGGGGCTGGAGGCTCTTTTTCAGTTGATAGGATTATTGGTTCAATCTCAACATCAAATGCAAATAAGCAGTGGAAATATTTAGGTTTGGTTCTTCTTTGTTTTCCTGCTGAGGCAAAAGATGATTTTTATTTGAGATTCACTCACTATTTTTTTTTTAAATATTAGCAGCAAATTTGGGATATTTCTCTGAGTTTTTGTGTACTCAGGATAAGTCTTCTAGGTTTGTAAGACGGTAAAATGGTTTTTGCAGGACTACAGGAAGATTTATTCTTCTTGAAATCCTGTTTTTCACACCTCTGGCACAGAGACCAGAAGGAAGCAGGAGCTGGGTTCCTTTACTCTATTTACAATAAATTTTAAATTAATTTTTCTTATATCCCAAGAAAAGACAGCTCCCACCCATGGTCCCATCATCTCCTCTTCCTGTGTTCATGTAGCAGGAAATTGGGATTTTTTACCACTCAGACCTTTGCTTCTAAGTTTGTTACCTGAAGCCTCATCTATGAACTGTTGTTAAAGAGCTGAATCTATTTTTAGCTTAAGCAAGAAATCATTAGAGGTCAAAAAATCCTCTTTTGACATTGTGAGTTTATATTCTCTAGAGCAAAGGCTGTAGTAAAAATAATGAATGATGTTAGGACAGTTTTTTGGTAAGGAAGGACATTTTTTAAGAAGTGGGATGGAAGAGTGAGTGTGTCTTACATATCCACAGAAATGGCTTCAGGATGGAGCAGAAACTGCTTTTCTGTTTTGAGACAAATTCCAAAATGAGTGAGTTCCCAAACCTTTACAAGGATTAAAGCCAAGGGAAATTAATGGAATTTAATCAAAGATATGATCCATAAGTTTTTCTGTTGTTTTGGGTTTTGTTTGTTTGTTTTTAATTATTAACCCAGCCCTTCTGAAAGATATTTAAATGGCAGTAGGTTTCATACTGAATGGAAAATTTGTTTTTGGCGTGTGAAATTGGGAGTGAAATTGGGACTAAGGCATGGAAATTAGAAATTGGGACTAATGGCATCTTCTTGGAGAGTAAAGTCTGGCCATTACTATGTGATGCCACTAAGGATTTTATGCTATTCCTGTAAATGAAAAATATTTTTTCCCCAGGAAAATTGGCATTGTTTATTATTCTAAACAAGAATATTTTTATTTATAGAAGGAAGAACTAACCACAAAGCTCAGTAACAGTGTGAGGAAAGGGATAGATTTGCACCACTAACACATTTTATCCCTCCTTCTCTTCCACAGGGTGCCCAGGAATGTGGGACAATATCACATGCTGGAAACCTGCAAGTGTGGGAGAAATTGTCTTTGTCAAGTGTCCTGCACTCTTCAGATTTATCATCTCTGAAGATGGTAAAGTATTTTCTCTTTCTTCTTCACCTCTGCCTGGCAAAGCCTCATGATCAGCACGAGTGTAAAGCCTCACTTAGATCCTCAGGATAAAGAGACATCAAAAACTCTCCAGCTGGGCTCCAGCTACAAATAAATTGCAAAAAACCAGGATATTTGTGTGTAGATACATGAGTGTGCATGGGGTGGGAGGGAAGGTGTGAAAAAAAGCCTTCACAGACTACACAACATGAAAATACCACAAATTTGAGCTGCTAAAGGGTATATTCAGCCATTGAATTCAGTGGGGACCCAGATCTGTGTTTGGGTCTTGGGTAACACAGTTGGAATCAATTTTAGGAAATAATTAAAATGTAGAGCAGGTTCTGCTTGTGCTGAAGGAGAACACAGGCTTGAGATGAGCAGTGAGGAGCTGCATGTTGGGGTTCAGGGGGGAATTAAAGATTTCTGGAGAGAAGCAGAAGTTCCATCACATTTTGTGTGTGATGATTTTTGTTTATGTCTCATTAAACATAAAAATAAACACAGACATAAACATCCTTCTGTCCCTGTGCTGGTAATTAGCACAGATTGGTCCATTTGCTCCCAGCACCCACTGCAGATCCCTTAATTAGCACACTCCTTTGAGGAACAAGTTCATCACTGTGGATCCTTTTTCCCAAAGTTTATTTTATCAATTAATTATTCATTTACAGCCTCGAGTCCAAAATCTGGGTTTTTTGGATCGCCACACACACAGAGCATCATTTTTAGGAGTTTTAGGAGTGTTTCATGCAAAGCTCCAGGAATTCTGAAATCCTCACTTTTGACATTTCCAAGGACAGGCATCACCAATGTCACCTAAGCCATGACCCACTTTAGAAATAAGATGAACTCAATTTGACCTGTTCCAGGTCTTAAGTAAATAGTTACTTGTTAATGGAAAAAATACTTTTAAATAGAAATATTTTTAATGTGAATTAAATTATTTAAATAAAAAATAGATTGTTATTATATTATTTTATATTTATCTAAACAAAAATGTATATATTTAAATAAAATCAGGATTTTTATTGTATTTATTATATTCATGCCTTCAATTTATCTAAATAAAGATTTTATTTAGTTACATAAATTATTTAAATGAAAATAATATAAATTGTTTGCAAGAAAATACAATTTCTTTCAATTAAAATGATAGAGCCTTTAGAAGAGTAAATAAATAAATATATAATATATTGTGTTATGTCTATTATATATATTATACATAATGTATAATATATATTGTATTTTATATATTATATATTATGGTATAATATACATAATAATATTATATGAGCTTAATATATAAATTTATATATAAACTCCTTTTATTTTTTTGTTCTATTTATTTTATCTATGTAAAATAAAGGGCTGAAATAACATTTTTAAATAACTTTCGCAGGATTTAGAGATCTCCTCACACACTGTACTTCCCATTTGGCCTGTGGCAGGGTGACAGTATGACCCTAAGGGAGGAATATTCCATCCAGTGGAAACATATGTCCCATTCCTTTATCTCCTCACAGGATCCCCAATAAAAGTGACAGCTGTTACCTCGTGTAGGGCTGGGTTTGAGGGGGTTTTGGACATCTGTTCACCAGGAACACACCCAAGATTCATCATTATTAGATAAACAAATAAACATTTAACCTGGAGCAGCTGGATATCTCAGCAGATGTGTCTGGGATTGCACTGCTGACCCCAAGGTGGAATTACCAACATCCCAGTTATCAACATCCCATTCACTCTCCTGGGTGAATCAGCATCAGCTTTGCCATCATTGCTGCTAATTCTAATTAGCCAAGTGTGTTTGTTCAATGAGGGTTTAATGAAAAAAGTCACATTTCATGATGGTTCCCTAAGTAATGGGTTATTACAGAACGATAATGTTTCTAAGACATGGATAATCACATTTTAGGGATTGTTATAGTGTCCTCTGGCTGCTGCTCTCTTTCTAGAATATGGAGCTAGGCTGGGCATGGACACTAATATTTATTAATAGCAAAATCATTCCTAGTACAGCAACATTTTTATATGTTAGATAATTTTTACAAATGCAGCAATAACTTTAAATTATACTTTTTAAAAGTTTGTGCTCTGAAGCACCTGTAGGTAATCCCAGGGCAATCATAGGGTGTGCTGATCTTAAAAGAGTGGGTGGGAAATATCTCACCTGGCTTTGGATATTTAAATTTACATGTGAATTTATGAAGAGATCACATGGATTTCTGGTTCAGTGAATAGAAATCAATGGGCTCTTGTAGAAGATGCTTTTTCTGACCCCTCTCAAATGCTTTTCTGGAGGTGAGCAAAGTCACTGCTTGTTTTGTGAATTTCAGAAAGGAATCCGACTGCCTTTACTTGGATGTCTGATTTCCATATGGAGCAAAATCGGGAAAAAATAAAAGAGACTACAAAAGAAAAATTAACTAACTAAGCTGTCATCTGGAGGGATGCTTTTTGGAAAAATTAGCTGTGTATTTAGCTAAAAATACCAGCTGTTGCTGGTTTTAATCTGCTCTGCTTTAACCTTCACTGCAATTAAACCAAAGAGTAATTTTTGGGCTGCTGTCAACATCCTGCAGAAAGTTCAAAGTGAAATTCTGTGTGCTTGGCAACCCTGTCTTCTAAAATTTCACTTCACCTCTCCGATCCTCCAGAATCAGAAAGAATTTTTCATTCCTTTCAGATGCAGGCTGTGAACAAAAGTATTGTTCTTAAAATCTCTCCTGGAGATTCTTTGCTGGAGAATCCTTTCCTCCAATGGAAAAAAGCTTATTAGTTCCTGAGTCTTTTCTCATCTTGTAAATTAAGGATTACAGTACCTTTCCTTCTAGATAGTTCCCAAAAACTAATTTTTTTTTCCCTCTTTCACATGGATTTCTGTGATTGATATCCATCAATCATTATTTCCACCAGGAGCTGTCACTTCCATGACCTCTCTGTTGTATGTTACCATTTCTCCAGTGCTTTCCCAGCACTGGCTCCAGAAACACCCACGCCACCACAGGACATATTTAAAGCATTCTAAGGCATATTTGAAGAGGTAAAAAGAAGAAAACCATGCCAAGCTGTGATGTTACCTTTCAGTAGGACAGAGCAAGACCTGGAGATGGCTCTGCCATAGTGATCTGCACTCCCAGCTGGAGAACTTTCTCTTATTTGTTGTTTTTTTCCCTTTTTTTTTTTTTTTTTTTCAGAGAGAGGTAATATTGCCTGGCAATGGAAAGCTGCAGAAGCAAAATCTGTGGCTTTTTGTGCTTGGCACTGTACAGCTGAAATATTCTGGAATGTATAAACACACCCAAATGAAACTTAATAACCAGATCAGAAATGAACATATTTTCAGTCCTTTGATTTGCAGCAAGAAATAATACGAAGGATAATTGACAGTTTCTGAGCATTGCCATATGCTCCACATTTGGAAAACTCTTTCATTCAGAAATCCAAATAATAAATATGAGCAGCTCTTACTGAATCTTCCAGCAATTCAGGTAGTTTATCTGGTGCTCAGTTTAGAATGCTCCCTGATACATTTACCACAAAACATGGTTCCCATGTAGAACAGAGAAGATTCTCCTAATTTTTACCAAAGGCATAAAACCTATCCCATATTGACACCATGATTAAGGGTTTCTAATTAAAATCCAGTAGAATAAAGAATGTAATCAGGTATTAGAAAGTTTAAGAGGGAATTACAACCTCTTCTCACATTTCAGAGCCAAACTCTTTGGCTTGTTGCTTCTCTTGGTTGAACACAATCAGTGCTCAGGCAACGAGCTCTGTTATCCCAAGAAATTGGAAATAGTCTGTCACTGATCCCATTTAAAACACAGGGAAACACTCAAGTACTTTGTTGTGCTAATTAATTGATTAATTGATTGTGTGAGAAAGCCAAGCCTCATAAGTGCTGCACTAGAGATGCCGAGGGTGGACGGTGGGATTAATGAACACGGGGTTAATTGGATTTGGGAAGCAGTCTGTGCCTGAGTTTACATTTATCCCTAATCAATTAGAATAGGATGACAAGAGAAGAGTTAATGAGAGGGGAAGTGATGCTCTATCTCCAAATCCTTTTGTGTCCTTTCTGGGGAGACAGTCCTGGTAAAGCCTTTAAAAGCTGACATGGGAAAAAGGTACAAAACCCCCTGAGTGGGTGAAAAGACAATAAAAGTCACTGACTTCCCAAAGTGAAAGCTGTTGGAAATATTTGCAAGTTACAGTTTATATTAGTTTGGGTTATGTATTGGTAATTTTTTGTTTAGACAGGAAGAAAAAGTGACTGATAAAGATCAGGAGCCTCCTGAAACCCCAAATATCCCTGGAAGATTGTGTGCTTATTTTCACTGAGGTAAAAGATGCAGGGTTTTGTTGCTACTGCTGAAATTAAGGTCAGCATTGCAGCAGAGGGAAATTGGAAATTGCATTAGCCTGTCAAAAAGGCAAAAGATGAGTGCAAAGGTCCAGATTTCTCTTCAAGGATGTTTTGCCTGGATAAGTATTCCAACATCCTCCTTGGAAAGCAAGGGAAGGCAAGCCCTGTAACCAAGTTTTCTCTGGAAAACATGTATGACCCATCCCAGCATTCTCATTGCGGGAATAATGAACCATTGGAGCTTATTTTTATTTATTTATTTATTGAAGCAACCAGGACTCTGAAACCTTTGTTTCAACCTTAATTTTATGTAAGATTCTACATAGCAGTCATAATCAAGTTCAGTGCAAAGGCCATCCATTTTATAAATAAACCATTTAAAAAAATTAAAAAGAAAGAAAGAAAAATATATATAAAATGGCACTTGATAGATAACAAGTAATTTCCAGCTGGTTTTCATCCATGGGCTTTGCACAGGCAGTAAAGCCATGAGATTACTCCAGCTTTTCCAAAGAGAGGAGGAAAAGCTATAATTAAGCCTCCATGGTCACAGCATCATGAAGTCCATCTGCAATGCAGAGAAAATGGGAGGAAAATGCTGTCATCA